GTGCAGGTTTTAGCTCAGTCGACAGTGAGGTTTTTAGTTTGTAAAGTGCATACATTATTGGCACTTTTTTGACTCATTGCATAAACACAATGACTAAAACAGGAGTTAGAAGGATTTTTCCAAAAAGGTTTTTGCACATTTTGTGTGCTTGTTGATGAATTTTCATTTCCATTCTGTGTTTGTGTATGAAAATACTTCACTTGTGGTGTCAGGATTAGATTAAAGCAATTCATGGTTTTCGGTTCTTGTAGAATTTCACATTTAAAATAAAGAGTGCGTCAGTTTACGCTGATTTTCAGTCACATTTTGCCTCTGCACATCCACATGTTGTTTCCAGCTGCAAGAAAACACGGATAACCATAGCTTACAGTATACAGAGGCAATGAAATCAAAGAGTTGATGGTAGGAAAATGCATGCAGATTTTATTAACTTTTGAATTCCTGGTGAGAGAATAAGAAATAATTAAAACTTGAAAACTAAACATCAGCTTTCCTGTATTCACAATTGAAACCAGTGATAAATACAGTCACTTACAGTAGATCTGACCCCTGTGGCCTCTGTGCTGCTGCCATCTGCTGGTTCATGGAGGTACTGCAAGTTACTACATGGCCAAAACTATTTGGACACTTTGTCTCACAGCCAATTTATTGAGCATTTCGGTGTGTTTTGGTCTTGTTACCAACAACTACAGCTATAAAAGTATGTTCACCTTTAAGTTGGTGGTCTGTGCAGTTACTGTCACCGTGATGCAGTTGTACAGATGTAAATGCAACTAATCACAGTGTGAGTATGTGCTGGTGACAGGTATGAACTCTGTGCTTCCTCCTCACTGTCAGACCTTTTTATTTACAGTCTATGTGTCAGACGGAGACACAATCCCAAACATGGACATTTAATCTTTTCAAACACAAGAAATACTCAACTAATCTCTCTAACACGAGTCTCCTGACAGTCTCACAGGTCAGGAGGGATCTTGTTGCCATGGCGATTAGTTGAGGTTGGGGGGATTTAGTCTGGTAATTTAGCACAGCTGTAATTTATACACTCCTCTAAATGTACCTCTTTTTTTTCTCTCCCTCAGTGTTAAGACTTAAACCTCTTCCAAAATCTATCAATTTCTCCATCTATGCACGGCCAAAAGTATTTGGACATCCCTGTAAGTAGGGCTGTTTTTTATGGTTTGGACAAGACCCCTTTAGCTCCAGTTAAGGGAAAAAATGAAGAAAAAGTTTTTGGAAAATAAGTTTATTCACATCTTCGCTGAGAGTTAAATGAGAAGTTTAATATGTCTGTAGAGTAAATATTAAGCTGCAGCCAGGAGGCGGTTAGTTTATCTTATCTTCTGCCTGAAGGTACAAAATCCCCGTTCGAGGACCACCATGTTACATTAGAAAGCCAGTGTTCCCCAAAACCTTTAATTGTTCATTTAAATGTAGTGCATGCTGTCGGTAGAGGCTTTTTCTGGAAATAATAATAATTTCAAAAAGGAACAGAAAACGTCCCGAGGGTTTCCTTCCAAAATAAAATCAACATGTTCAGGCCATACACATTTTCCAGGGGTTATTGAAAGGCATTCTGAGAAATTTAAACACTCACTTATTGGGGCAGAAGCAGGTTGAGAGAAAGTGAAAAATGCAGTAAAAGTCACAAACTGCTGGCATCTAACTGCTTCAGGAGGAACTATTTTCTGTAAGCAGACACGTCCCCACTAGAGCTTTTATATACAGCTGTAGTACGCGAGATGCCGCTGGAATGTACTGTATATAATTGCATGTGTATGCGTATATGTGAGTGCATAGTACTCCACATGGAAAGCACCAGGTGGCTTCATAAACTGACATTCAGTGACTCACTGAAGCATAATGCTGTGGTGTGTTTACTTACCCTGCTCGTGGCCCTGTGCAGGTCAGAGTAGCTGACAGCTAATAGTGATGAAAAGTGCTGGAAACATGGAGGGAGGGTGGACATGCATGTGGGAGAGTCTGCAGGGCATTTGTGCAGATGTATTGACTAGTGTGTTGAACATGAGCACAACATATAGGAAGATCATGTGTGAAGGAAAAAGTCTGTCCAGATCTGTAAAAACAAAAGATGTTTTCTTTTATATTTTTGCTCTATATTAGTATATATTGGTAAGAAAATGCTTTTTTATGTCATAAATATCAACATAAACTTTATAAACTACCAGTTTCTGACATTTACACCACTTTATTCTTCTATTGTGATAGAGGAAACAAAGAAATCTCTTGGCAGGATCAGCTTCACCAAAAAAAGAAACACTCCTGCACAGGAAATCTAGCTTTTTACCCACTAAACACAGGCTCTCTAATTGCTTTTGGTAATTACTGCAAGACTGAGGCACATGAGCTTTTTTTTTTGTTATTTGTTACAGTGTGTTCCACTGTATTTCCTTCTGCTCCACCACATTTCATAAAGAAATGTTCTACTTTTTAATGTATTTGACACCTGCAGTTATTTTGGTTCATATTGTTAGTACGAAATATATAACTAAATGAGGATGTATCATTTAAGTATATAATAGAGTTAAACATATCTGCCTATAATACCTGTACGATATAATATAGAGCAGGTGGAACTGCAATATATACCAGTTGAAACTCATTAATGTCCAGTTTTGGTGATTCTACTTGAACTGAAAATGTAATTGTTGAGAGGGGACTTTGTTTTGGGGTAAATGTAAAAAGTTTGCCTGAATCAAGCTCAGAAGAAAAGCTCTGTTTTGTCATTTCTGACCTCTGAGCCAAAACTCTTAATCTCATTTGCTGTATCTGTGACAGCTGACTTTCACACACTCCCCAGTGAGCCAGGCAGATACGCTGACAGCAGTAGTGTTGTTGTACGAATGCAGAAATGATCAAGAAGTGGCAGTTTCCAATCCTCCACATGTCATGCAGCGTGGGTGTGGGAGGTCTGAGGACTGGAATGTGTAACAGCTGGACGTCCTAGCTTGGCAGATGAGGCGGGTAGCTGGATGATGGGGGCACTCAGGGCCATGTGGAGGAAGCAGCCTGGGAGAAGAGGGGTGTGCCCAGATCCCTTCTCCCCTTATCGCCCATCTGTGAGAACCTGGATGTGGTACATCTTCCGAGGATTTAATACAATGAGGCAATGGAGTGGTTCCCGCGGGGGAACAGCTTAATAAGACATCGATCCAGTCAGATCCGCCCTCCCTGGCTGCCTCTCGTCCTCAGCTGCTGTCTTTCATTCATCCCTCACTCTTCTTCTTCCGTCTCAACTTCATCTTTTCACACTTGTGTTACTTTTGTCTTTTAGCACTAAGCTATTAATCACCACAGAACACATCAAAGAGAAGCAGAAAGTTGAGTCTGTAGCACTACAATATCACTTGTGGCTGTTTTGGTTTTTCCTCTCTTTGAAACAATAAATCAGACGTACGTGTCAGCAGCGTTGTGTAACTGAGCACCACTTCCTTTTGTGCTTTTCTGAAACAACTCATTTCTTGATGCGAGTGTCAGTTTTAACCAGATATCCTCTCCGTGTCATGGTGACCTGTCAGCTGCTGTGTCCATTAGTCCAGTGGTTTCCAACCTTTGTTGATTGTGAGCCTTTAATACAAATGCAGGTGTGCTTGTGACCCCTCAGCTCAGGTGCATGTTGTTAGTTTTTAGTTGCCTGGAGAGATAAAACTACACATTATAAGTCTGTGTTTTCTCTCTCTATTTATTTTGCTGTTAGATTCATCTTGCACACTCGTGTTGCGCCAACCCCCACACTCTGAACAACCATAGGGCTACAACTATTGATTCATCTGCTGATTATTAGTATAAGTATCAAACCCTACGTTTGAGAAGCTGGAAAAAAAAACAAATATTTTATATTTTTGCTTAGAAAGTGACCAAAATGATTCTTTTTTATCAACTAATCAGCAGCTGAAATTGACTTTAACTGTTATTAAAAGTTGTTTTTCCAATTTTTTTTATAATGCTTCTGTAAAAATGTTCAGATATGGAACAAGAAAAAGCTTTATGGTAATATTTGTAATTGTAAACTAAGGTCTACTGTAGATTACATAAATGTTTTGTCATTTACTATGGAAAGAAACAGTGATCACAAGATGTTTGGTACATGAGGGAAGTGATGGCACTGCTGCTGGATGACAGCAGAGAAATGGGAAATGAAGTAAACTAAAGTAAACTAAAGTTTTCTGTCAGTGATGGACTTGCATAAAGACTGGAACAGAAACCTCCATGTGTAACGCAGCTACCGAGCGTGGTATCGATCTTCTTATCAACTCATGAAAAGAAAACAAGAAGGAAAGCAAGAAAACAACTTTGTCAGACTAATCCTTTAAGTGACTGTGCTACAGGGGTTTGGAGAATTTTGTTTTTTCTGTGCTTACACCGGATGGTCAGGGGTTGATACAACATCCTGCAGAAAAGGAAAAGACTGTGACACTTCTTTATGGATTTCTTGCCTAAAACGCTGCTGTGAACTTTGTGCTTCTCTTTCTGTCGACTGAGCTTTTTGCAGCTCAGTGTTTTGCTCAAGGACTCTTGGGATTCCTGCCCACTTCGATGTGCATGGCAGCTTGGAATTTCAGACTTTGAACAAAAAGAGAAGAAAACCTGTTTATTATGGTCACAACATATTTAAAAACTCCATATTTCTTGAGGTTATTTCTGTGCAGGATGGGTGTGTCACTGTGGCTCCTTCTCCATGCTGCAGAAAAGCTCTTAGGGGAGCCACTCATCAACTCACACAGGGGAGGAGTTTAAGTGTGCGTTGGGGCAACTGTGAGTAACCAATGACTTCCAGCATCAGTGTAACAAGCCTGCCCCCACACTTGGGTCTCCCCCCTGTGCGTGTAAGTGTTTTTTGTTTTTTTTATGAGGGGAGTTTGTAGCAGCCATGCACTGGGAGCTCTAGAGGGAGGGTCTGTGAGTGTGAGTAGGGTTCTTATGTCTCTGCTTTCACTCAGCGGATGCTCAGTGACCCTCGAGCAGCCTGGATCCGACTGTTGAGCGGCTGGTTAACAGGTGGAGCTTTGGGGGAACAGTGAGAGGGCTGTGTGGAGTGCTGCTGCACCCTGAGACACTTTGAGGACTGTTGCAGGAGCCAGCAGCATGTTGAAGATCCAGACGTGGGTGCTTCTCTTGGTTCTCTGCGCTGGGAGCTTGGAGGCCTGGTTGTGGTTCTCAGATCCAGAACCCACCACAGAAATCCCAACAGAGACAGCGGCAACAGGAACGACAGGTGCCACCACGACACCCAATGGCACAAAGAAGACGGATGAGGAGGAGGATGACAACTTGTCCGGGGTTGGGGAAGAAATCATCAACATGGCCACGGGAATCCGTAAGTTTGTGGAGGCATGGGACGCGACCCCAACCACCGGGACTACTAATGGAGGCCTGACAGAGAAGGTGGAGAGCGCTAACCCTAACAAGACGGGTAATACAGACAGTTTCAGAGGGGAGAGGGTGGAGGAAGGGTCTGGGGTGAATGCAGAGAATGCATCTGGGTCAGGATCAGGGTCCATGGCTGATCTTGAGTCAGATGTAGAATTGGTGACGGTCTTGAGAGGCGATAAAGTCCTGTCTATCAATTTAACCTCCGATGTTTTTAATATGAATGGGACTCTTCACATCAATGCGTCTGACCCGCCATGTCTCCCCACGCCCTCTGATTGGCCCATTTGCTCAGGCAAACAGCCAAAGTTTCTTACGCTGCCCAACTTTTTCAACCACACATCTGTGGAAGAGGTGGGGGCGTTCCTCAAGGAGTGGGCGTGGCTAACTAGGGTGGGGTGTCACCACGGCACAGAGTGGTTCCTCTGCCTCCTGCTGGCGCCTGGGTGCCCTTCGCCCCTTGCTCCCCTGCGCCTGCCCTGTCGCAGCTTCTGCCACGTCCTGCGGGACAGCTGCTGGGCTTCCCTGGAGAACGGGCGTCTCCCGGTGGAGTGTCGCCTCCTGCCTGAGAGAGCGCAGGAGCACGGGCATCCTGCATGTGTGTCATTTAGTAACCAGAAAGGTAACCCCGGCGGGTTAGAATGTATCCTGTGTGGAGATACATTTTGAATCCGATGTCCTGTCAGCGTTGGTCTGTGTGTGTCAGTGTTTGTGTGTGCTTTGGTAAAACACTATCTAACATCATCTTTCCCTTCCCATGATTCACTCTGAACATGATTTTGCCCTTTGCAAAGAAATTATTGACATTACAGCTGATGATTTTTCACAGCATACTATAGTGTTTTAAATGATTGAAAGGCTTCTATCCATTATGGTGAACATCATACCTGCTTTTATTGTTGTCAAAGTGGCATTATTGGTGTGTTGCTGCATTTGTAAGTGCAGATTCAGAGATTAAGTGGTGTGTATACAGAGGTATACAAAATATATCCACCTCCGGGCAAGGTGTTCACCTTTATACCCAACCAAAAATAACAACATCAGTGCACATCTGGCTGAGCAAGACTGCAAGCGTGTTTTCTGAGACTTTCGATACCTGACTTAAGCCTTTAAGGCAGTGCCTCCTCCCCTTCCGTGAGTTCGTCCTCTCTTCAGGACAAACTCGGGGAACAAAAGTCTCTTTTCTTGCTTGCCACAAGCTTTAAGAATTCATATGAAATGCATCTATAAACAAGATGTAAACACAGTAAATCGAGCGTCTGCAGGAGAAGACAAAGAGACAACAGGTTGAGCATTTACATACTTTACTTCAGTGATACTTACAGCACTATAAATGTTAAATAGATATAGAAAAATAAGTCATAGGTCAAAGTAGTCATATTGGAGAATGAAGGCCACACACAGAAATAAGTTATAATAAAAGCAAAAAAATAAAAGCAAACATGACGTTCACTGTGATGAAAGCCTTAACTCAAGCAGGTATCTGCCAGTAGCGTAAAGTAACAATCAGCATTCAATGGGTTAAAACATGCAAAAACACTTGTTATGGTCATTGCAGTTGTTGCTGCCCCTGCTGTGTGGTGTCACTCTCTGTTCCCCGCACGTCCAAAGCAGGTTCATCAGCACGACAGTGCATGACGCAACACCTAAGCTCACGTCCCTGTCGCAGGGTGCATGTCGCGCTCGTGCAAAACTGCATCTGCAAAAGCATCGTTTTTCTGTGCTCAGTCAGCAATGGTCAGCAATGTTACAGGTTCTGTGGAAACAGTCGCAGCCTTTTCTTACTTTTGATCATGCATAACATTTACATGATATATTATATTAGATATATTATATTGCCTCTACATGTTGTCAAGCACTTCCTGGCTCATTTATATTGAGAAAAGTGTATTAAATACATATGGTATCCACATTTCCCTTAAGACAGGAAGTGCTCCCTTGTCCAGCCTTTTAGTGACGTCATAAAGTTTACAGTATGGAGTCGTCTTTTGGGGGTTAACAGCTTAAACTTTGCTGCATTAAACCGTCTTTATCATGCTTTTTCCCACAGGAATATTTAATGTAAATGTTCTGGGTTCAAGTGGGAGAGAGGTTTGTTACTTTACATGTGCCACATGTAGGGTTGTTGTTTGGATAACCTTTGAACTCAGACATAAACTGTACTTAAAGCTAAAATGTAGAAAAGTCCAACATACAGATATGTCATGTTTTACCCCATAGAGTCTCACAGCTACAGTGCAGTGTGGTGAAGATTTTTTTTTTTTGTTTTTCCATGAATTATTATTATTATTATTATTATTATTATTATTATTATTATTATTATTATTATTATTATTATTATTATTATTATCAGATGTAGTGAAACTGGCTTTTTAAGTTTTTACATTCACTGCACCTGCAGTACAGGATGTGAAACGTCACTGCATTTGTCATTAGGCCGTTTTTACTAGGTGTGAATTTCCAAAAACCTGCGCAGGCTACCTCAGTCATTAACCCACACAAAAAGGAAAAAAAAAGAAAAGGGAGGGAAGAGATGTTTCACGTCCCGTAAGCTTCTCAGGGAATCCAGGTTAGATGTTTTAGTCCCATGTGTTGCATTTACCAGTTATCACTTTCTTTTACGCTCTGTTCTCTTGGCTGGACAAGAGAATCAGTGCTTTCCCACATACAGCATCAGTCCAGTTGGCCAATAATCCCTCCGCTACTCTCGTAACGTCCTACTCCTGCATGCCGGTCATGCACTTCTGTCCTAGGTTATTTCCTTGTCATCATATTTCACGATTTCTGATCAGCTGTTGTGGAATTCTGTGTGGATTTAGAGGCGAATGGTGTGTTAGCATTCTCGAGGGGAAACAATTGGGCCATCTGTGGCTGGGAGGGAGGGCCAAGGATGGCATTTATGATATTGACCGTGGGTGGGAAAATGGCCCGCTCCGTAGAAAGAGTGTGGCGATTGTGCGGTCGGTTTGGGAGAAAGGGCAACGGTGTCGCTCTCGGTAACAAGAGAGCCTTGTGACCGGGATGAGACGGGGCGGCTCAAGTCTCTGCCAGGGGTCAGAGGGCACAGCCATTCGTCTCCACCCTCCAAAACCAGCTACACTTGATGGGTGGTAATTGAGTGTTTGGCCGAGCATGAGAAGATGGGCAGAGATGGAGAGTGGGACAAAGTGTGAGAGAGACTTTTATACTAATGGGGAATTACCCACTCTTTACAGTCAGTGCACAGTATTCCTCAAAAACACAATTAGCAATTATGTATCATTAACCAGTGTCTAAAATTGACCCTGAGTCCTCTCTGTTTTCCTGAAATGAAGTTTTTTTTCAGTCGGTGATGAGCTGGTTGTGGCTCTGGCAGCAACAGTAGCAATGGTAGAAAACAGTATGAGAGAAAGCAAAAATCCACCAATTTTAAACAAAAGGTCAGATTGTTATACATCAGTTGTACTAATACATTTGTGAAAATAGTTTCTTAATGTCTTCTGTGGCTGTGGAGAAATAAATAACCCTGGTGATGTCGTCAGGGTTTTCTCAGCTTGGGCTTTGAATCACACATTAATAACAGAAAGAAAGAGAGGGTGCAGATTCTCAAACACGTTAATACCAGACAGGAAGCATTTCACTAAGAGAATTGAAATGCATTATGGTAAATGTAGGATCCAGTATTTGTCCAGCTTGACTAGAAACTTAAATTCAGGATAAAAAAAATATAAAAGTTGCAGTAAAGCACTGGCAGCTGGGTTGCCAGCTAGTTATTGTTGATGACATTAATTCATATTTTCTGTAATTAGGAAAAACAGGAAGATTCTGCATTTATTTTTGATTTTACAGCAATTTACCTGCAACATATTTGTCAGTATAATGCTTTCATTTCTACAGTAAATTACCCAGTTATGTGAATTAATATGCAAAAGGTATATATAATATATTTAGCTAATTTAATCAACTATTTTAATGCAAAGTCCTTCACTTGCATAAACAGTTTCTGCAGGGTTAAACTGGTTAAACTGGCTCATGGGGTCAAGTCTCTATGTGATCTTCTCCTGAACATACGAACTGCAGCAGTTCATATGTGAAGCTGCAGCAAAGCAGAAGATATAGAAGATAACTGTCCACAAAGGTAAACGTTTGTAGCTTTAAAGTATTTTTATGAGGTGGTTTCATGTTTGGAAAAAAAGATGTTGAAGATAAAGTATTAAAAAGGAAAACAAAGCTGCTGATGTGTCTGAAAAATCAGTGGTACCTGTTGCAGCTCTCTGGGTGAGATATTTGAATTGGACCGAAGCCAAGAAACCAGACAATTTCAGATAGTGATGCTCTAAGAAAAGAAAGAAGTCCATCTGATGTGATCTGAGCTCGTCACTGATCCTCCATCAGTCAGCATTAATTGGCTCTCAGCTCTCAGCTTATTTAAACATGGATTAAAGTCTGAGTGTGTGGCAGCTGCGTCGCCTCCGTTTGAAGTGTTAACTGATGCCACTTTGCTTCTCAGACGTGTGAAGTCCAGTTGGTGAGATCCTAGGAGGGCAGAACCACAGCTGGGGGGGGGGGGGTCATGGTTGAAGCCACTGGGGCTCATAGTTGAATGAAAGAGACTCAGGATTTAGAGGCTCTTAACTTGTTTTAAGGTGCAGACTGTCTGAACTGTTTAAATACTTCTGATTCACACTTTAATTGGTTTGTTATTACAGCGCTTACTTCTCCAAATAAGGGCTGCAGCTCTCAGATGGAGGTAAAGTAGGCTCTTGTTGAGGCATACTTTGATAATGGTGTAATGTTCTTGAACATTTTGCATGCACCAAAACAAAAAGACTCAGATTGCTCACACAACACACATGTGTTTTTGTGTAATTATAGACGAGGAATGAGTAGGCATTGATTTTGTGCAGAGGGACATTTCAGGTCAGTGCAACTGAAATAACTGTAGTTTCTTTAATTTCAGGCTTTTTTATGAGAAGACTGTTTGTTCCTGTGTCACTTCTGATTCTTGTGTTGTTTTTCTCTGTAAAACATGTATTATATAAAATGTATAGAGGTAGATTCCTT